CCCTGTGGCGAGATGTTCTGCTCCTGGACTAGCTGGTTGGATCTATTCTCTACACTCTCCCCTGCAGACGTTGCAGCTGCAGGATTACACCTCAGGCGTGTATACCAGGCCTGAGCTGTGCCAGACCTGGGCTAGGACTGGGTCCGCCCATATGTATTTAATGAAGTTTATACTATATTAATTTTAATACCCATTAATAAAAATATGGGACCAGTGGGAAGAAGCTACAGAAGACAGGTTCGGGCTTCCCAGAAGAAAAAGCTGCTTCATCAACGTAGTTTGCTGTCCTGGGAGGTCACGGGCTCTATATTAGTGACCCATCTGTTGATGAAACAAAATACTTGACTGTTGCAATTTAGAAGCAGAAAGCATTACTGGGGCTAATGGTTTCAGAGGGTTCCATTCATGATGGGCTGGCTCCAAACTAGAGATATCGTGGTAGAAGAGCATAGGCAGAGGAAAACTGCTCAACCCAGGACATCCAAGAAAGTCATCCCCCAGGACCCACCTCTTTTGACCAGGACCTACCACGTAACAGCATGTTCAGCTATAACCTCACCAGTGGATCAATCCATTGATGAATACTGTGCCCCCATGCTCCAGTTACTTCCAGAAGCTCCACCTTTGAACACATGAGATTTTTGAGGGCCATGTTAGAGTTAACCATTAAGGCTCCTTGGAGGTTTCATACAGATCTTTTGTACAACAAACTTCTGCCTAGAGGTTACACTGAGAAATTCTAAAATGTCTTCTAATTCTGAGATTCTATGATTGCTCCACAAAATGTGTACTTCTTAGACTAATTCAATGGTTGACAGACTGTGACTCAGAGACCAATTGTGGTTCTCCACTGTTTTCCATGGCCTGTGAGCTTTTTTTTTTTCATTTTTAAATGCTTGAAAAAATGAAGATAATATTTATGATACATGAAAATTATTTAAGAAATAATATTTCAGCATCCTCTAAAGAAAGTGGTATTGAAACAAGCCCTGCCCATTCATTGGCTTGTTGTTTGTAGCTACTTTGCCACAATTCTACACTGGCAGAACATGAATAGTTATAATTGAGGCCATTTGGCGAACCAACTAAAATATTCACTGTCTGGCTTCTAACAAAGCATTTGCCAACCTGACTGCACCACTCCAGTGCAGTACTAGTGAATTTTAACCACTAATCCTCTGAAGAATGGAGAAAGCCCTGTTGTATAGCATTTGTAGATTTATGTGGCCTAAATACTCACGCTACAGCTGATTGCAAGCTCGCAGCAGCCTTCAGTCAGTCTGCAGAATCTCAGATAGCAGTAGACAGAGCACACCGCTACTTCCCTAACACGATCACTGGCAAAGAGGCCGGGTGTGCCTGAGCCCTTCAGTCTCACACATGCTTCCATGCCCACAGTCACTCCAGCCACAGTGTCCATATTCATCTCTCATGTTCTTTTTTTTTTTCAAAGTTTTATTGATAAAGAGCAATGAGAATCTCTCACATTCTTACCAACTATGTTCATTCACTCACTTGAGCAGGCAAAGATACAGAGATTCATACAGTGATATGTGGGCAGTTCTTGGAGTTAAAAACCAGTATATGAGAGCAAGCTTTACCTCTCAAAACAAGTCCCTTATAATATATCCCTCTAGTTGTTTTCATTGAGACCTAAGGAATGTTAGAAAATATCTTCTGCTTTGGGCAAGAGTTAAATCTCAGCAAAGAGCAGTATGAAAAATATGTATGAAAATATACTGTCCATAAAATTAAATCATTTCTACATTCGTTAGTATTAACTGCTTTGACAGCATTGAAGTTGGGTGGTCCCAATCTTGATTATCATTCAGTTGTTGTTGGATCCTTTTATGTCTGGGCAGTAGCATTCTCTGGCCCATGCATTCTCCGTAGTGGCCAAGTTGTTCCCAAGAAACGGCACTTGCTTCTTGGGGTGGGGGAGTTTACATGCTGTATTACTTCCCAGTTTGCCTAAGGACCTCAGCATATAAACTCTATGTATTTGAGTTTTGTCATATATAAGCCATAGATAAGACATTAAACTTTATTAGAGGCAGGAGAAATAATGTATCTGAGAAAATACCTGAAAGGTTCCTTAAGGGCAGTAAGTTGAGCAACATTTCTGTTCCTTCCTTACCTCTGCTGTGTACACCACCAAGTATCTTATCAGAGCTTCACTACTTTATGATCCAGCTTATTTTCATGATGCATGTATGTGTGACATTTCAGTTTTATAGAGTTCACATTGACCTCATCTGCAAAGTAGATTATATCACACTAAATTCCTGTGTATAGGTAATAAACTGGATTCTCATGTTACAGTACATGACAGTGTAACTCTACCCTTTCCACCATCTAAGGTGCCCCTAGCAGTTATAAGAACTTTCTTTACTTAATATCACCATTTTATTTCATAGCTGTGTTCTTACCTTACAGGTAAAAGACCTCATGAGTGTGGAATCTGTAAGAAGGCATTTAAGCACAAACATCACTTGATTGAACACATGCGATTACATTCTGGAGAAAAGCCCTATCAATGTGACAAGTGTGGGAAGCGCTTCTCGCACTCTGGATCTTATTCTCAACACATGAATCATCGATACTCCTACTGCAAGAGAGAAGCAGAAGGAAGAGACAGCACAGAGCAGGAAGGGGCAGGGCCAGAAGTCCTGGCCAAGGAGCATGTTGGTGCGAGGGCGTCTCCCTCCCAGGTCGACTCAGATGAGAGGGAGAGTTCAACAAGGGAAGAGGATGAAGACAGTGAAAAGGAGGAAGAGGAAGAAGAAGACAACGAGATAGAAGAATTGCAGGAAGAAAAGGAATGTGAGGAACCACAAGGGGATGAGGACGAGGAGGAAGATGAAGAAGTAGATGAAGGAGATGTGGAAGAGACAGAGGATGAGGGAGGAGCGGCAAACCCTGAAGGTCCAACGAAAGCTGATGGAGCTATAAGTCAAGGAAGCAGCTTAGAACAAAAAGTAAGCGAGAATGATGAGCAGGTGTCTGAGGAAAAAACAAATGAAGCCTAATAGTTTTTCTAGAAAAAAAAAATAAATTCTAATTGGTAATGAAGTTTGTTCTATATTATCCATGCTTTTCATGGAAGCACAGTAACATGTATACTGTGATTCCTGTTCACTACTGTGTAAAGTAAAAACTCCAAAAAAAAATACAAAATACAAAAAAAATTCACAAAAAAAAATAAATTCCGGGTGTGCCTGAATCACAAACCTAGTAATTTTTCATGCAGTTTTCAAAGTTAGGAACAAGTTTGTAACATGAAGCAGATTGAAAAACTTTAATGACTCAGAAAGCAAAGCTATAATAGGTTACAGGAAACTGATAATTCAAGAAGCATCTGGCATTGTTTCATTTTATCAGTATTATCACTTTTATGTTGGTTTATTCTTATGCTGTACAATTGGGAGAAATTTTATAATTTTTTATTGGTAAACATATGTTTAAAGCTAAAGCTAAACCCACTTCAGTATTTTATTATGTTTTTTTGAAATGTGAGAACTTCTGCACTACAAAATTCCCTTCAAAAGAAGTATAATACAGTTCTGAACCATGCTACTACCTTTTATAAATTCAATTCAGAAGGTAGTTATTTCTAATATTTAGATGTCATAGTAGAGCATATTATCATTTAAAGTGTATTGTTAGCCTTAAGGAAGCAACTGATAGAAGAAGTGAAGTTTCCTACTCATCTAATTCTAAATGGAGTTCAAAAGATTGTTATTGAGTTCTGATTGCAGGGACTAACAGTGTTGATACTGGTAAGGACAGCAGAGTTGTCAGAATCAGTGTTTGTGATTGTGTTTGAGTATGTGGTAACAAATATGAAGGATATGATATGAAGCTTTTTATCTCCTTTGGCCTTAAGCAAGACCTGTGTGCTGTAAGTGCCATTTCTCAGTATTTTCAAGGCTCTAACCCGCCTTCATTCAGTGTGTGGCCTACAATAACTAGCATTTGTTGATTTGTTTGTCCTATCAAAATGCCCAAATAAAACGGAAAACCACTGACACTGTCAGAGAAACTAAAACACTGGGACATTTCATCTTTTAATTCCTCAGTATTCATTTTGCGTTAATTGACTTTCAGAATTTCTCTACAGAAACAAAAGGGAAATTTTCTAATCTGCTTTATGCATGTATTTGCATTTCAGTCGTGGACATGCCATTATTATTTGGCTCATAACTGTTTCCAAATGTTAGTTATTATGGACCCAACTTATTAACAACATTAGCTGATTTTTACCTATCAGTATTATTTTATTTCTTTTAGTTTATAGATCTGTGCAACATTTTTGTACTGTATGTCTTCAAACCTGGCAGTATTAATACCCTTCTTACTGACATTGTACTTTTAGTTTTAGAAAACTTTTATATTTATGTGTCTTATTTTTATATTTCTTTATTTATTACACAGTGTAGTGTATAATACTGTAGTTTGTATTAATACAATAATATATTTTAGTATGAAAATTTGGAAAGTTGATAAGATTTAAAGTAGAGATGCAATTGGTTCTCTTGCATTGAGATTTGATTTAACAGTGTTATGTTAACATTTATACTTGCCTTGGACTGTAGAACAGAATTTAAATGGGAATGTATTAGTTTTACAACTACAATCAAGTCATTTTACCTTTCCCAGTTTTTAATATAAAACTCTTAAATTTTGAAATTCACTGTGTGACTAATAGCATGATGCTCTGCAGTTTTATTAAGAGATTAGCCTAACCATAAAACTCTCATTTCCTTAGCAAGCCAAATTAGGATTACCTTATATAAACAGTGTTGGGAACAATGTTTAACATTTTGTGCCAATTTGTTCCTGTATTCATGTATGTAAGTTACCAATCTGACTCTTCATTTTTAAGTTCCTTGTTACACCATGGTCATTTTCTAGTTTTTTACCAGACTCCCCCATCTCACAATAAAATGCATCAACAAGCCTGACTTACTGTCATTCTTTTAATCATTGCCAAGATTTTCTTTGGAAAGCTCTCTGTGAAATGGGATATTACACTGTCATCCTACACTTAATTCATCTTCAACTAAGTGTTGGGCAACCCTTAATGTTTTAGACATAACAACTAAATTATGAGGATTTCTTGTGGCTAAATGTTTCTAGACAGGTGAAAGTGGCAGCCGAAGGCCTTTGAAGAGGACTGCTCCTTCTTCCTTCCTAAAGCCATTGCCTCCCGCCAGCCCCTGTTGGTCCTGTTGCCTTTCATCCTTAGGCCACATCAGGGTTGTCTGGGGTTAGATGCCTTTCTTCTGTATGCCCACAGCTCACTGCAACTTTCTAATCCTGTGTCTTCTACTGTTCATTATATTCATTTCCCACTAGGAACAGGGACTACATTTCTCGGAGCCACTGTCATGTGCCCACTGACTGGTAGAGTGCCTAGCACTAGTTGAATCAACAAATCTTTGCATGCAGAAAATATAATCTGGGCCAGGGAGATGGCCTAGTAGAATAAGTGCTTGCCTGGCAAGCTCAAGGGCCTGAGTTCAATCCCCTGTTCCACAAAAAAAAAAAAAGAAAGAAAAAAAAAGAAAATATAATCTGCATGCTTTGGTAGCTCAGCTATGCTTTCACTATTTGTTTTGCTGCTTATCTCAGAAGATATGTTAAATGATTCTGGTAATTTGATGATTTTCTTATTTAGGTTTAGTAAGTACTAGGCATAATAGACATAAATTCTTTTACTGTTGCCTTACTGATATGATTTGTTGAGAATTTGTTTCTAAGTGTCTTCTTTGTCCTTATCTTTATGGCATATTGCACAGACATACAAGGCTGATGGATTTGATTACCGCCAAAGGGAATGGTAGAGTCAATCCTATTAAGCACTCTTTCTTTGTATCCTTTCCCCATCCTAGGGGCCCACATTCCATGGTACTTTATCATCCTGTTGCCTGACTTCCTGTCATGAAGAATAGCTATCCAACAATTTCTGTTAGGAAATAAGAATCAGCCACCCTTATTAGGAGGTAACCACACTATAATGCTGTAATGTAAACTCAAAGAGGACAGCGCTTGATGCATGTATGTGGCCAGTAGAAGAATTTAAACATTATCAGAAATTTTAAAAAGAAAAACATATGGATCCTTTTCAGTATCCTACAAGTCATGTAACTAATAGCAATACTACTGCCAAGTTACTTGTGCTGTGTATAAGTGTTTTGCTACCATTATCAAAGTTGATATTTCAAAAACTTAAAATAGAAATTAAAACCATGTGCCTATAAACACACATAATAATAAAATGAAGATTTTTAACCCAGGCCTCCTTGATTCTGAGATCCATACTTTATTAACCTATCACTTTTCATGTCAAAAGTGTATACCCTCTACATTTAGACTCAAGTCTAACCTTAAAGAATAGGAATATAAAATATCTATAAGACCAATTATGGTTTACAATAAGGTATAAAAGGCATGAGATCTTTCATATCTCTGTAAACATAAAATCATTGAAGAGAGTACTACTAAAGTGCAGTGAGTAAACTGACATGAAAATACAATCTTAGAACATTATTTCACTCTTAAGATAAATGGAAGGATATATTAAATAATATATGACTTTCTCTCTGACCAGAAAACAGACAGCAGAGCCTATGATTCCTCTGTTCTACTGAACAAAAATATATTTTCAACAACAACCAAAATACACATTTTTTAAATGATTCTGGGACATTCATGATGATAAATCTTAACATAGACTTAGGAGGATTGCCAACAGTTTCCTTTGATTGCAAAACAATTACACTAGAAGTCAATAATTGACATAAGCCTAGAACATTCCTCAGGTTACTTAATACATTAAGTAGTCCATGGGCATTAAAAAACAAAATATGAATCAAATGAAAATGCCAAATATCAAAACTCATAACATGCAGCTAAAATATAGATAACAGTAAGTCCTTAATCAAAATATATTTCATTTTAAGAAACTAAAGGGTAAAAATAAAAGCCAAACCAGGCAGGAGGAAGGCATTAACAAGGAAAAGAAAAATCAATGGCAGAGAAAAGAGTAAATCAAAGAAGTCTGAACGTGATTCTTTAAAAACATTTTTTAGTAAAACTGATAAAACTTCTATTCAGAGCAAGGAAAAAAGCAAAAATTACCAAAAACTGTTTACAGATCTTAAAAGGATAAGGAAATAATTTTAATGCAAATAAGCTTGACAATTTAGATGAAAATTAATTTCTTGAAAGATTTAAAAGTACCAAAATTCACAAATGGACAACAACTAGGACAGTACAATATCAAATTAAATTTCTAGTTAAAAATCTTCCCACAAAGAAAATTTCCATTATTGATGGCTCCACTGGTGAGTTCTACAAATATTTAAGAAATACGTTGTAGCAGTTCTACACAACTCATCAAAAAAATAGATGAGAGAGCCGGCCAGATAGCTCAGCAGATTAAAGCACCTGCTTAGGCAGACACAGGGACCAGCGGTTCAATTCTCGACCTGCAGTGCCAGCCCCACCCCCAATTGAGACCCAGCATGATGGTGCACACCTGTAATCCCAATGCTTGGGATGCTGAAAATGGGAGGATCACCACGGGTCCAATCTACATAGTGAGACCCTGTATAGCCTGTACTAAATACATTTTAAAAGAGAAGAGAAATTTTTTTTATTTTATTGAGAAATAGCAATAAGACAGTTTCAAAATTGATTAATAGGGCAGTTTCAATAATTAATGCATTGTACATTGTTGTCTTCTTAGTGGTTATCTATAGTATAAGAAGCAGACAGGTTATCCTGTCCAAACACTATTAGTACAACTCTTCTCATTGAATTAAGCGAAAGTAGTTGTATATCTATCCTAACTATTCTGCATATACAGATACAAAATGGTCCTTCCTTTATATCCCCTTTTTTTGTTTAGTCCTGTCTGAAATGAGTATTCCATTGGCATCTAAATACTATAGGTGCGTGAATTCAGCAAAACAATCCAACACAGTCCAGTAGTCCACAATAGTAGTGGGTCATCCACAAAAGTTGTTGACCTGAGCCTTTCACAGCTTAGCATATTAATATGGCTTTACTTTATATGCCTCATTTTTATACTTTTCTGCTGGATGGTTAAGACCAAGATAAAGCAAGACCTATATAACAAAAAAATGTAACTTTTTTTTTTTTTAACAGAACCAGGGATTGAACTCAGGCCCTTATGCTTGCCAGGCAAGCACTTATTCTACTGAGCCATCTCCCTAGCCCAAAGAGGAGAAATATTAACCAAAACCAACAAAGCTATTCAAAAAGCAAAACTAGACATTAATATCCCTCATAAAAATAGATGCAATATATCGGAAGTTAACTTGAGCAGTTTATCAAAAGGAAAGTATGATAAAATGGGATACCAAGATTTTCAGATTCATTAAATATGCAAAAAACTAATAATGCAGTACATTTATACTACACAATGGGAGAAAGCTCAAAAGTATATAAGAAGTAAGGAAAATATTCTACACTAAATCACAAAAATGATCAGCAATCTAGGAACTGAAGATTAATCTTAATCTAATAAAAAGCATCTAAAAAAATCCTACAGTGTACACTTACAATAAAAGTTTAGGTGCTTTCTTCCTAGACTTGGGAACAAGGCAGAAATATGAACTCTTGCACTTTTATGAAACATGGAGCAGGGATGTCACCTATTTATGGCACAAACAAGTGAAAGACATACAGATTGGAACAAAAGAATAAATTTGCCTTTATTTGCAAGCAGTATGTTTATTTGCAGACAATATTGTCTGTGTAGAAAATAAGGTATGAGAGAGGACTAGGAAAGGTGTACAGTTGTTACAGGACACAAAATCATGCAAAAAGTTAGTATCTTACTAAATGGAAAGAAATTTACGCTTTTTAAAAAAGTTTATTTGATACAGGGTCTCACTTTGCAGCTCAGACACCTAGTGATCCTCCTGTCTCAGCCTCTCCAGCACTGGGATTATAGGTGTGTGTGACCATATCAGGTTGTGGTGGCCTGCACAGTGCACCCAGAGGTTCCAGGACCAGCACAGCTTGTGATGCTGTGGATTAAACCTGGGTCCTTGAACTTGCCAGCCAGACACCTAGATGACCAAACTACCTCCCCAGCCCAAGAAATTTACCGTTTAGAAGTAGTGCCATCAAAATTATGAAATACAGAGAATTTAACAAAATTTAAACAAAACCAGTGCACAAATTACTATAAAGCTTTGATGAGAGAAATTAAAGATGCAAAGCAAATGGATAGAAATTCTGTGTTCATGGATCAGAAAACTCATTAAGGTATCAGTTCTCCCCTAAATGCATCCATTGAATTTCAGTGCAATTGCAATCAAAATTCTTAGCCTGTCCTGTCTTGAGAAAAAGCAAAAATTCTTAGCCATATAGTTCCTAGACTGACAGGCTGATTGTACATTTATATGAAAATGGAAAGAACTTCAAATGGGCCAAACAATTTGAGAAAGAACATGGAGGACATACATTATGTGGTCGCTAGAATGAGGTGGTTTTTATTGGGGGGGTGTTTTTTTTTGTAATTTAGGAAAGGGTCTACAGGGTGTTCAGGGTCTCACTACTAGATTGGACTTGTAGTGATCCACCTGTTTACAGCCTCCCAAGAGCTGGGATTATAGGCACACACCACCATGCTCAGTCTCAATTGCCATCTCAGCATGCCCTGGGGATGGGGCTAGCACAGTAGGCCAGAGGGATCAAACCCTAGAATGAGTTTTATAAAGCTACTGTAATCAAGACAGCTACACTGAGCATGAGACTAGATGTACAGGTCAAGAAATGAGTTAAGAGTTTTAAAAAGACCAACAGATGCACTGTCAATTGATTTTGCCAAAGATGTCAAGATAAAATGACAATTGTAGGACTGGAAATCCCATTTAAACCAGCTATTTCTCTATTGGGAATTTACCCAGAGAAACTGAAA